TCCCCCTCCTCCTGTACCATCTTCGTCCTGTTCTCCCGTCGTTCGTAGACCCCGATCTTTTGCCGCAATACATCGAGGCGGTGCTCGGCGGAGAGATGAGGAGGGAGAGCACGCTGGTGTTCGGGCCGAAGGTGTGATGATCGGAGGTATAGGTGGAAAGGAATCGCCATTTCCGGCGGAAAACGACTCCCCCACGTTACGAGACGCTGCGTCGCGTTGTTACTTGACGAGACGACCGGGTAAGGATGATCGATCGAACGCGCTCACTCTTGCTCCTTGACCTTTTATTGTTTATTATTAGTTTGCCCGCCGGTTTCGCCGCTTTCTAAGCATATGCGCGCTGCGTCCTTGATACGCAAAAAGCTCTGTTTCTCGCCGGCCGGTGATCCGGGGGAAAAGCGGGGACATCGCGGCATCTTGATCCGATCGGTTATTTCGGCGACTATCCCACTTGATGGCACAATAGCCCGTGGGAATTGAACGACCCGATTAGTATCATTGAATCTGTCTAATTGCTGCCCGCCGCGGGTAAAATTATGCGCATGGATTTGTATTGCTTTCCGATGCAGTTGCTCGCATGAATATCGATGATCGCAAATAATTGCATATTATTTGGAGACAATATTTAGAAATCGTGCGTCTCTCGGTAGATAATACGAATGGCACGCCAAACAATCGCGAATAATCTCTATGGAAATCTACCTTAGATATAATCAGCGTTTCTCTCTTAACGCGACTGAATTTTTTATTTCGAAAGATCAATTATCAAAGAGAGAAATTGATATCGCAATGGAAGAAGCTTCCGAGAGGATTCGTCAAGAACCATTATGTAATTTGAATCGCAGCATTATCTTACATATGAATGTAACAATTTAATCATATTCAAATATAGACGGAGAAAAATAATCGTTTTAGCGAACGATCGTTGTTAATGCAAATTCGTTGCGACAGTAATATTTAGTCTCATAATCAAATTGGCGAATGATTTGTAATTAGAGCAGAAATAGTCCCGTCGCCTGGATAGAAAATATTCTGCCAAATGAATTTGTCGTTAGGACAATTTAATTTGTCCCCGTTGGGACAAAATAACATTTCCTTGCATTTACTAGTTCGTTCATGTAGCAAAGTAATTCGTAGATTCGGCAAGATGATCCAACGAATGGCAATTGGAACTTTTAAAAAATCGTTCCGCTATCCACACGATAGCTAACAGATTTTGCCGCGGCGACATGAAATTTGCCGTGCCGGCAAATTATTTTTCCCCTTGTGTATAATTGAGCTGGAAAAGCGTAGCTTTCCCTTCAGTTCGAAGAGATAGTTTGTGAGCGATTAAAATATTCACAAGCTGGTTACCTAAGACCGCGGCCCGACTCTCCTCTGACCAGCGGAGTCTGCACGCTACCCTGAAAAACGGCGCCACCGTCGCCGGTCACCCTCAACATTTCCGCGCCCACGATAACCTGCTCCCTGTCCGCGGAGAAGAGTACTCCTCCACGAGGATCGGTTACTCGGAAACCTCGGGACACACAGTCGACACGGTCCTCCCCTGCAAGCAGAATGCCCGGTCACGGGCACGTGTTTAACGACCTCGGATTTCACTCGGGGAGCAAATTGCATAACGTTAAAACGTCTCAAGTGCAGATTCCCGCCGGAACAGGCCGCTTGATCTTATTTCATCGGGCGTAATCCCGCTCTTCTCCTCGCGAAGGGGTAAGTTGAAATTACTTTTTAACGTCGGGCCCCAACAATGTGGTATGAAATACGCGGGCTGTTGTGCGGGCCATTTTTATAACTTACCGACTGTTAATCGCGCAAGGAGCCGTCCATCGTGGGATCTCGCCGAGGCCGTAAAATTACTCCATGATTCCAGCACCAAGTTTTTGCCCCTCCGAGATCTCAGGCTGGAGGCCACGAGGGCGTCTAACACGGCAGCTTGACCTCTTAGCTCGATTCCCCCAGGCACCACTTTTAGCGAACCGATACCTTCCTGAAAGAAAAGGAAATGACTGTCAGGACAGAGGGGCGAGCCGTCGAAACTTTCTAGGCCGTGGTTATAACGCTAGACGAAAATAGAGCAAAAGCCCCCTCGCCACGATTTATTGCCTCTTGTATACCCATTCTATTTTCCACCAAATTGACAGCTGACTCAGGGCTTCTCGTCCTCTTCCCCATAAATTCTCTTTCATCCGGCGCCGAAATATTTATTTATAACTTCCATTAAATTCTCAAATTGAGATCTCTCCCGATCGCTCACCGGGCACACGCACAGACACGCCGTGTTTTCTCCGAAGGGGGGAGAATCGACGCTAAATTCATCGCGGGAACTATCGTCGAAATTAAGATCGTGCGTGCGCGCAGACGGGCTGTATTAAACGGAGATAGTTTGAGACGCCTCCCGCCTCCCGCCTCTGTATCGTCTCGGCAAAGCCAGAATTTATTAAAATCGGGCGCGCGTCAGGAAAGCCTCGTAATATCGATATCTTCGAGATCAAGTAAGAGCGCGCGCGCGATCCTCGCGTCGTAAAATAAAATAATATACTCCATTACTGTGTCGAGTTTCAGCGCGACGCCGGTGGGTATTAAGTATCGGCGTCGCCGCCATTATTGCCACTTCAGACGGCTGAATTATAAATGCGGCGATGAGCTACGTGCGGGTTACGCACGTAGTGATCCATTGTGCTCGTTCGTTTGAAATATCTACCGTAATATCCGAAACAGTGGCGTAGGCAGAATTTTATTTTAACGCGGCTTCTCTCTCTCTCTCTCTCTTTCTCTCTCTCTCTCTCTTTCTCGCTTTCTCTCGCGCTCTATCCCTACCCCCGCACGGATCTCTCCCTCTCCGTCTCTCGCCCGCCAACCATCCCCCGAGATGTATCGAGCGAAAAGGGTGGATGGCCGACGGGGGTTGGGACGAAAGGAGAAACACACTATAAAGTAGACACATTGCGCGTTTGCATTCATCTCGTAAACTTCGGGTAGTCTTCCACCTGGGACTTATCCCGAGCAGAAAGTGCAATTTGGCGTTTATGAAACAGTTTTACCGCGTATAATTGCGATCGAATTCCGCCGGCCCGGCCGTTTCTCGGAGTATATCCGCACGTGAGATCGAAAGAAGCCGTGTTCTTCTTCGAGGCGATCGAAAATATGTGATGCATTCGCGGACGCTTATTTATAGGAACGTACGAGGTCTGTTCAAAAAGTATCGCGAATTTTGAATTTCCGCGGGTTACGTATATTCGATTTTCGATTTTTTTGTGGCGTTATGTTGGTACTCATGTCCCTCACTTATGCCGACAAGTTCGGCTATTTTGAATATTCAGTTTATCTTTGACAGCTGTTTTGCTTGGACGTGTTTTGGCTCGTCTTCGATTTTTGCCTATTCCAAAAGATGGATCAAAGAATCTAACAAAATTAAGTGCGCGGACGCATTCCGAATGTTGACTGTGGCATATGGCGAAGCTACCTTGGACCGAAGCAACGTTTATCGGTGGTACAAAATGTTTTCAGAGGGACGAGAAGATGTGAACGACGAAGAGCGTGCCGGACGCCCGAGCACGTCAACAACAGACGAAAACATTGATGAAGTGAAGAAAATAGTATTGGCCAATCGTCGAATCACCGTTAGAGAAGTTGCTGAGGACCTAAACATATCGATTGGCTCGTGCCATTCGATTTTTACTAATGATTTGGGCATGAGACGGGTCGCCGCGAAATTCGTACCAACGCCCCTGCTCACACATCGTTGCTTGTGCGCGAATTTTTGGCCAAAAACAACACACTAATGATGCCGCAGCCACCGTATTCCCCAGACCTGGCCCCCTGTGATTTTTCTTGTTCCCGAAACTGAAGAGGCACATGAAAGGACGACGCTACGCTACGATTGAGGAGATAAAGACGGCATCGAAGGAGGAGCTGAACAAGATCACAAAAAATGATTTTTTGAAGTGCTTCGAGGATTGGAAAAAACGTTGGCACAAGTGTATAATATCTGATGGGGATTACTTTGAAGGAGACAAAATAGATATTCATGAATAAATAAATAATTTTTGAAAAAACACAAAATTCGCGATACTTTTTGAACAGACCTCGTATACACACAGAAAAATATATATTGCGTTCCAGTAAATATGACTTATTTCAAATATTTCATAAGTTTATATGTCCGCAATATATATCATATCAGAAGCATCAAATTTATTAAAATATATTCTGAATCCTGCAGGGATGAAAATAATTTTGCCGTAGCAAAACTATCGTTGCTACTGCATATTCGTAGCGACATCATAAAATTTAGTTGGCATAATCAAATTGGCAAATTATTCGTAAGAGCAGGAATAATTTTGTTGCCTGGAAATAGAAAATAATGCGAGTGAACTTATCCTTAGGACATGTTAATTTGTTATTAGGATAAAATAAATGTTTTTCTGCTAATTTACTAATTTATTCTTACAACGAAATAATTTGTAAATTCAGCAAAATAATTCAGCGAATGTCAAGTACTCTTAACAAATCGTTTTGTTGTTCACATAGTAATTGACTGATTTTACTGCAACAGCATAAAATTTATTATCAGCAAATTATTCTTTCCCGTATAGTAAATTTAATACTTCAATCAAGAATATTAAATTGAAACGCTAAAACTCCGGTCACTCATATATATATTCCAATTAATTTAACTTTTCTTCGATAAAGTTGATAATATTTTTAAAACGAGAACAAATTCTACTTTTGAGTAAATAATAATGAACTTTTCTAACATTTATGGTGAGTATATTTTAACACTATCGAGAAGAGAAAATATTCTTCGTTCAAGATAATTACATAAAAGAAGCACAATAAACCGAGTAATTGCTTTTCTTCACAGTACAAATTGTATTTTTCTCCGTGTATGTATTATTTCCGGGAAGTTCGAGAAAATCACCAATCGAGGCTGATGCGAAACCACAGTGAATTGTATTCGCGACATTCAAATTTGACCGTAGTAGTTGGGATTTAAATTTGCCCAGATTCTATTGGCGCGCGCGCGCGCGCGTCGATACGAGCAGAAATAGGTTACGTCGCTTTTTAACCTTTTGCGCGCGATATGAACATAGTTCGATATGGCAGCGGGGCCATCGATTACATTCCTATATTAAGGCGAACGTTGCGTATTTTAATATCATTCCAGAAAGCGTGCATCCCCGATCGGATAGCCGGTTGCACGACGTTAGGAGCAGTTCGAAAGGCAGTTCGCTTGGCTCGGCGAATCTCCCGCGTCGCGTCCAAACGCAACCCTCACTCCACTGACTGTGCCTTCTTGAAAATACCATTGCAGTAAAATGGCTTGTCCTTCGTGGTACCATCCACATTGGTTTCCGATGATTGGCCGCCCGATCGAAACCAATTGCCGCGTTCTGTCCATTTATTATTACAACTGCAGGCTAGGGTGAAGGGGAGAAAGAGAGAGAAAGAGAGGACGTGCAATGGCGGGGATAAACGCTGCTGGAACTAGTTTAAACCTCTGATCAAGCGAACTCCATTTCGCCGGGCTCTTTTTTTCTTTTTTGGACCGGACATAGCACCGGCCGAGCCGAATATTTGCACACGGCGGGGCAATTTGATACGTCGATCCGCGGCGAAGCGATAGGGGGTAATTTCTCCCGCTAATCGAGATGTGAAGGGCTGGGCGGCCGGAAAGACAAACTTTATTATCGCGAACGCGTCCGATATTCGGTAGGAATGTAATCTTTCGTGACTTACATTTCACACACGGACAGAGTTTCGAGTTATACATAATATATGTAAAAAATAAATATATAGACATATGCATATACATATATGTTGTTTTACGCGAGCAAAATAGAATGCTCGTCGTTTAGAGATGTAGAGAGACATTGTTCAATTATTTTTAAAATATACAAAAGCAATTTTCACCAGAGATCGCTTTATTCATATTTCATTGGTTCAGCAGATAAATAAGCTATAAAGCTCAAATATTCGCTTTTCAAAATTCGTTTTTCAAATATTCCCATATGACAGTATTTACGATTAAATAAATACGAGTCTTTAAATATCCAAATGGAGAACTTTCCGTAGTATGCGAACATATATGTAAATATTAATAATTTTCTGTATGCAGGTAGCTGATATTGGTGACGAAATTAAATTATCATTTCATATAGGATTGTGATTATGCATGGTAGATGCGTGCAACGACTGAACCGGAATAAATATTAGATAGTCCAGCATGATACACGTGCCATAATATCATTAGCGTTCTCATTGCATTTTTGTTTACCCGGTGCGGTTCCATAAATCGCCATTGTATCGCTATAAGTGTCGGCGTTCCGAAGGAAACGACCGGCTGCCAGATTTCGCCAAGTACCGGTTGCGAGATCGCGGTTTAAATACACGTTCATAGAGTTTCCCAGCGTCAGTCTGGATACGCGTAGTTGCGATCGCCGGCGGAGAACGAGGGGTGGAAGGGGTCGCGCCGAGCCACCGGCACTCGATTAGCCAAATCGTTCGGAAAACGATACGATCTCTTTGCCCTCTACTTAACCGTAACCGTAAACCCCAATAGCGTCCGCAGAGAGCGAGCGAGATCGTGAAGAAGAAACAGAGGGAGGCACAGCGATGCGCGGAAAATGAGAACGAGAAGAAACGCCGGAACGAGAGAAACGTGGACGATGAGAGACAGAGAGAAAGAGAGAGAGAGAGAGAGAGAGGGAGGAAGTACACAATAAGAGAGAAAAAAGTGCAGTTGCAGGGGAGTGAGTGAGAAAACGAGAGAAGAATGAGGGAAAGAAAAAGAAAAAGAGAGAGAGAGAGAGAGGAGTGGGGGGGAGGAAGAACTACGGCTGCACCTGCTTTTTAGAATCACCAGACGGTCTGGAGGAACCTCCGGTCGAGTCGGAAAGATCGCCCAATCGTGGTGGTGAGAACGAGCGGCAGTAGTAAAAGTAATCTACCGTCAGACAGGTATCATTAAGTCCGAGGCTTTATACC